CTAGGATTACAGGTGCCTGCCACTACACCTGGCTAATTTTTGTATTTTAGTGGAGACGGGGGTTTCACCATGTTGGCCAGGGTAGTCTCAAACTCCTGACCTCAGGTGATCCACCTGCCTTGGCCTCCCAAAGTGCTGGGATTACAGGCGTGAGCCACCATGCTTGGCTCGTTCCCTCAATTCTTTCAATTCTTTGTCCCTTATCCATGGGGAATGAAGGGAGAAATATCAGTTGAGAGGGTGGAGTCAGAAGGTTGGCCTTCCCTTGCTCTGGCATCCTTAAAGTTTGTTTGGCCAGGCAAGGTGGCTCATGCCTGTAATCCCAGCACTTTGGGAGGCCTAGGCAGGTGACTGTACTCCCAGCTACCTGGGGGCTGAGGTGGTAGGATTCCTTGAGCCCATCAGGCAGAGGTTGCAGTGAGCTGAGACTATACCACTGCACTCTAGCCTGGGTGACAGAGTGAGACCCTGTCTCAAAAAAAAAAAAAAATTGATGAGAGGGGAGAAAGGGACCTGCAAAAAAGATGGAAAAGAGATAGAGATCAGAGGAGAGCCAGAGGAGGGTTGTGAAATTCAAAGGAGTGAAGTGAAGTAGGGCTAGGTGAGGTGGCTCATGCCTGTAATCCCAGAACTTTGGGAGGCTGAGGAGGGCAGATCACCGGAGGTCAAGAGTTCAAGACCAGCCTGGACAACATGGTGAAACCCCATCTCTTCCAAAACTACAAAAACTTAGCCAGGCATTGTGGCACACATTGGTGGTCCAGCTACTTGGGAGGCTGAGGATGGAGGATCCCTTGAACTCAGGGGGTGGAGTTGCAGTGAGCCAAGGTCACGCCACTGCACTCCAGCCTGGGCAACAGAGTGAGACCCCATCTCAAAAAATAAAAACCAACAACAACATAAAAAAACAAAGGAGTGAGATAGGAGGCAGGATTGGACTCTGGAGGTGGAACTCAGACACCACAAAAAAGTGTAGACTAGCTAAAACAGGTCTGGGGTGGAAGCAGCTTGCCATAAGATACACCCACAAGTGGGCATTGTCAGTTTACCATTGCCATGGCAACACTGCCCCTTTCCACAGCAGCGACCCAATGACCCGCAAGTTACCACCCTCATCCTAGAAATTTATATATAAACTGCCCCTCCATTTGCATATAATTAAAAGTTGGTATAAATATGAATGCAGAACTGCCTCTGAGCTGCTACTCTGGGCACACTGCTTATGGGGTAGCCCTGCTCTGTAAGGAGCAGTATCTCTGCTGCTGCTGTACACTGCTGCTTCAATAAAAGTTGCTGTGTAAGCCAGGTGTGGTGGCTCATTCCTGTAATCCCAGCACTCTGGGAGGCTGAGGCAGGTGGATCACCTGAGGTCAGGAGTTTGAGACCAGCCTGGGCAACATGGTGAAACCCTGTCTCTACTAAAATTACAAAAATTAGTCAGGCATTGTGGGATGCACCTGTAATCCCAGCTACTCAGGAGGCTGAGGGAGGAGAATAGCTTGAACCCGGAAGGTGGAGGTTGCAGTGAGCTGAGATCACGCCACTGCACTCCAACCTGGGCAACAGAATGAGTGAGACTCTGTCTCAAAAAAAAAAAAATTTTTTTTTAAAGACAGGGTCTTGCTATGTTGTCCAGGCTGGGGCTCAAGCAATCCTCTTGCCTCAGCCTCCTATATAGTTGGGACTACAGGTGTGGGCCACTGCCACTATGCCCAGCTTTCGTTTTTCTTGTTTTTTGTTTTTGTTTTTTTAGAGGTAGGACCTTTCTCTGTCACTGAGGCTGAAGTGCAGTGGCATAACCGATCATAATTCACTGCAGTCTTCATCTCCTGGGCTCAGAGATCCTACTGCCTCAGCCTCCTGAGTGGCTAGGAGTACAGCCACTCCCCACAACACATGGCTAATTTATCTTTTTTTCCCTTTCTCTAGAGATGTGGTCTCACTATGTTGCCCAGACTGCAGTAATAAATCAAAAATTTGAGTCCTGGTAATTGTTTTTTGTTTTGTTTTGTTTTGTTTTAGACAGAGTTTTGCTCCTGCTGTGCAGGCTGGAGTGCAGTGGCATGACCTTGGCTCACTGTAACCTCCGCCTCCCAGGTTCAAGTGATTCTCATGCCTCAGCCTCCCTAGTAGCTGAGATAACAGGCGCCTGCCACCACACCCAGCTAATTTTTGTATTTTTAGTAGAGATGGAGTTTCACCATCTTGGCCAGGTTGGTTTCGAACTTCTGACCTCAGGTGATTGACCGCTTCGGCCTCCCATAGTGCTGGGATTATAGGCGTGAGCCACTGTGCCCGGCCCCTTGTTGGGTTACTTAATAAACCAACCCTAGGTCTGCTCAGACTCCCTGTTATGTAAGATAATAAAATTCCTTGGCCGGGCTCAGTGGTTCACGCCTGTAACCCCAGCACTTTGGGAGGCCAAGGCGGGTGGATCATGAGGTCAGGAGATCGAGACCATCCTGGCTAACACGGTGAAACCCTGTCTCTAATAAAAATACAAAAAGAAATTAGCCGAGCGTGGTGGTGGGCGCCTGTTGTCCCAGCTACTCGGGAGGCTGAGGCAGGAGAATGGCGTGAACCCAGGAGGTGAAGGTTGCAGTGAGCTGAGATCAAGCCACTGCACTCTAGCCAGGGTGACACAGCGAGACTCTGTCTCAGAAATAAATAAAAAAAAAAATTAAAATAAAATTCCCTGACTGCTTAAACTACTTTTGGTTGCAGTTTCTTGGTACAGGTGAAACATCCCAACTGGCATAAGGATTGAAAGAGGAAATTTTGTTACAGGTATTTTCGAGAAAGACGAGAGTACAATGGAAGACAAGAGAGGGCCTCACGGGGCCTCCTTTAGGGCAGTGTTACTCAAAGTGTGGTTCATGGACCGGCAGCATCATAATTATCCTGGTATTTGTTAGGAATGCAAATTACCAAGGGCTTCACCCTAGACTGGTCAACTCAGATTCTCTGGCGGTGGGACTGGGACTCTGTTTGTTTTTTTATTTTTACTTTTTAAGGTTACATAGTATTTTACATATTTATGGGGTATCTGTGATATTTTGTTACATGCACAGGATGTGTAATGATCAAGTCAGAGCATTAGTGGTATCCATCACTTTGGGAATTTACCCATGTTTTGGAAACAATTCAATTCTTCTCTTCTAGATTTTTGTTATTGTTGTTGTTGAAACAGGGTCTCTGTCACCTAGGCTCTGGAATGCAGTGATGCAATCACAGCTCACTGCAGCTTCGACCTCTGTGGCTCCAGCGATCCTCCTTGCTTTAGCCTTCGAGTAGCTGGGACCACAGATGTGAACCACCACACTCTGCTATATATATATTTTTTACTTTTTGTAGAGGTAAGGTCTAACTATGTTATCCAGGCTGGTCTCGAACTCCTGGGCTCAAGTTATCCTCCTACCTTGGCTTCGCAAAGTGCCTTCCAGCTATTTTGAAATATACAGTCCATTGTTGTTAATTATAGTCACTACTCTGCTTTTGAACTATAGAACATAAACCTTTTTATCTAACTGTATGTCCTTCATTAACCTAAATCTCTTCATTTCTCACCCAACCATTCCCAGGCTCTGGTTTCTTTCTATTCTCTAAATTTATGAGATCGATTGTTTTTTAGCTGCCACAGATGAGAACATGCCATATTTATGTCTTTCTGTGCCTGGCTTATTTCACTTAACATAATGACGTCCATCAACGTTGCGGCAAATGACGTGATTTCATTCCTTTTCATCTGTGCTTAAACAAGGTCTCCCTCCAGGGATTTTGATGCAACTAAAGTTGGAGAAAACACAGACCTAGGACACTCCTACAGCTGGGAGTGTGATGGTCTAAGAGAGGAAGTGCTGTGCCACCAGCTCATCTTTGCCATCCTGGAGCTGTCTAATCTACGACTCAGTTTTCTTTTCTGCCACTACACAGTGAGAAGGAGATGAGGAACTGGGTGTGAAAACGGTTTGAAAAGGAGAAGCATGGTTGTGCACGCCTGTGATCCCAGAACTTTGGGAGGCTGATGAGGGAGGATAGCTTGAAGCAAGGAGTTTGAGACCAGCCTGGGCAACATGACAAGACCCCATTTCTTAGAAGAAAAAAAAAAAATTTTTTTTGAGACGGAATTTTGTTCTTGCTGCTCAGGCTGGAGTGCAGTGGCCGTGATCTTGACTCACTGCAATCTCCATCTCCTGGGTTCAAGCGATTCTCCTGCCTCAGCCTCCCCACTAGCTGGGATTACAAGTGTGTCACCACGCCTGGCTAATTTTGTATTTTTAGTAGAGATGAGGTTTCACCATGTTGGCCAGGCTGGTCTCAGCCTCCTGACCAGAGGTGATCCACCAGCATCGCCTACCAAAGAGCCGGGATTACAGGCGTGAGCCACTGGGCCAGCCAAAATGTAAAAAAATCAGCTGAGTGTGGTGGAGCGAGCCTGTGGTCCCAGGTACTCGGGAGGCTGGGGCGGGAGGATCACTTGAGCCCAGGGTTTGCAATGAGCTATGGTGGCGCCACTGCACTTCAGCCCGGGCAAGAGCGAGACGCTGTCTTTAAAAAAAAAGAGAAAATGGCTCGAACGGGCTAAGAACCTTGATCCCCAGGAGAGTCCCTGCGCTGACCGAACCTCTGGGGCTGGACTCCGCCTCCCAGTCCAGGAGCATCTTGCGGAAGGGCCTGTCTCCATCTCTATGTCACGGTGGAAAAACGGTAACGGTGGGGAGTCACTGTCATTCACTGAACTCAAGTGCTCCGATTTGGGGTCTTCTCGTTCGGATTCCTGCGTCAGTGAGTGGGGAAGGACTGGACACTGGGCGGTGCCCTGCGGCTCCGGGCGGAGCCAGCCGCGGTCGCGGGGCGCAGCCACCTCAGCCCTCCTCCCGCCACATCCTCCAGGAAAGGGTGCTCAGGCCTTCCATTGAGGAGACAAGGACCCGCTGCCCTGGGGACAGACACTCGAGTAAGTCGTGAGCCCTTGTGTGAAGAGATCAGGGGTCTACCCTGACGTCGGCGGGAACCGTTCTCACCGAACAAGCGGAGGCCCAGTTATGAGAGCGTAGCGGCCCACCACCGCCGGGTCTCCCGGAGAGGGCGCGCCCGCTGGCCAGAGGACCAATCAGAGCACGGCAGGCTCGCAGGCCGCCCCCCAGGGACCACTCAGGCGCAGGCCGCTGGCGCTGCCTGCTCTTCGACTGGGCGAGCTTCCTGCCAGTCATGGCGGAATCAGAGCGGCGTCGGCCAGTAGCTGGAGGCGGTGGCGTCAGGCCAGCGGCTGGGCGCAAGCGGGTCGGCGTTGACTGAGCCGCCGCCCTCCCGCCTGCGCACTGCCTCTCGGCCCCCTCAGGCCCGCCCGCAGCCGGCCGCGTCATGCCAGGCGCTGCTAGGCGGTAGGGAGTGCCTGGGGCCGCCGCCTCCGCCCGCCCGAAGCCGCGCCCACTGCCCAGAGCCAGAGGGATGGTGGTAGTCACGGGGCGGGAGCCAGACAGCCGTCGCCAGGACGGTGCCATGTCCAGCTCCGACGCCGAAGACGACTTTCTGGAGCCTGCCACGCCGACGGCCACGCAGGCGGGGCACGCATTGCCCCTGCTGCCCCAGGAGGTACCCGGGCGGGCGGCGGGCCGGGGGGGCGTGGGGAGGGGCGCGGGGGAGAAGCGGGCGCCGGGCATAGCTGACCTTGGCAGGTGGGCGGTGCCGGGGTTGGGGGCGGGGCCCGCGGACCTGCGCCCCCCTTCCCCCACCCACCTGCACCTCCCCCGCCCACCTACGCCCCTCCCCCGACCACCTGCACCACTCCCCACCCACGTTCAACCCGTCAATTGCACCCGCTAGATGTGCTTCCCCATTCCCTACCCCCTCCGCCCAGTACTCTCTGGGGTGATTTACTCCCATCCCCATGTCCCACGTTTACTGAAGATAGGAGGGAGGGTGGGCCGTGGGAGGGGGACCCTGGAGCCCCGAGAGCCGATGGTGTCTGACCAGGCACGGTGGCTCAAGCCTGTAATCCCAACACATTGGGAGGGAGGATCGCTTGAGGGCAGGAGTTGGAGGCCAGCCTGGGCAACATAGCGGGGGCCCCGGCCCGACTACGACTAGAAAAACAAAAAAAGGCATTTTGGGTTGGATGAATTTTAGAAAAGAAAAGAAAAAGATGTCTTCTAGAGAATCCAACAGGATGCTGTAGTGGTTGCCCGCACCTAGTCTCCAGCTGCCCAAGGAACAAGGCAAGGGGCTGTCTGCAGATAAGGAGCAGGCCAGTTCATAGATGTAGCTACAGTCACCTGGCATCCCATGGCTTGCACTCACAGGCCGCTGTGTGCTCTGATGCACTGGGGCTTCCACGGGTCTTAATGGGTGTGATACTATCATGTCAGCACCTGAAATGACACTCGAGACAGGAATATATACCAGGCATGGTGGCTCACATCTGTAATCTCAGCACTTTGGGATGCTGAGGTGGGAGGATTGCTTGAGCCCAGGAGTTAGAGACTAGCCAGGGCAACAGTGAGATCATGGCCCTACAAAAATAAAAATTAGCCAGGCTTGGTGGTGTGTGCCTGTAGTCCCAGGTGCTTAGGAAGGTGAGTTGGGAGAATCGCTCAAGCCCTGGTGGTTGAGGCTGCAGTGAGCCATGATTGTGCCGCTGTAGTCCAGCCTGGGTGTGACACAGTAAGACCCTACCTACAAGCAAAAACAAAAAAAGCAAGAGAAGGGAAACGATGCCAGGTGTGGTGGCTTACACTTGTAATCCCAGCATTTTGGGAGGCCAAGGCAGGAGGATTGCTTGAGGCCAGGAGTCTGGGACCAGCTTGGGCAACACAGACTCCATCTCTACAAATAAAAAATAAAGAGGAGGGAAGGTGAAGTGTTACTGGACACCGAAGATGGCTTCTAGGAGGCAGGGACTAAGATAGTGCCAGATCCAGGAGCGTGTGGTATGTGGAGTCCCAGGACAATGGATAGAGGCCCTCAACAGGCTGGGCTAGGTGATGATGCTCTTGGGAAGCAGATAGTGTTGTGCTGGGATTGCAAGCCCCATACACACAATGTCATGGGAAAATGAGCAAAAATCTGGAAGTAATCTCTGCAATTGGAAAAAAGTCATTAGTCACAGTGGTGCTATTTTTTTGTTCACTGTCGTTGGGAAAATGATGTGGTTTGAGGGAAAGAGCACAAGACCACAGACTGCAGACCAGGGCCCCACTGCCAGCTCCCCCAGCTGATGACATTGCCCCATGTGAGCTCCAAAACTGTTTCTGATGGCTTTTGTCCTCTCTGCTTCAATCCTCTCGTCTCTAATATGGAGCAAACACTTGGATTGGTATGAAGTATCTTTGGAAAAGGTTTAAAGAGCTCCAGAAATGTTCAGTATTATTATTCCAAAATGTTATCTGAGCCCTTGATATACACATAAAATGGTTTTAGAGGACCTACAGAGTAAGCACAAGGCATTTTCATGTCCTACGGGTGCAGAAGAGTAACAGTGCATACACACACAGAGGTGTAACTCCCTGTCTATTTTGTTCGTTCATTCAGTGAATTTTGGGTCTTTACGTGAGCCAGGCACTGCACAAGGCCCTGGGTCAGCTTTATTTCATGTATTTGTACCCTATTTTATTTCACAAAGGATTTGAAAGCTGGGAAGGGGACTGTGTAGACAAGCAGACTTTCACTGGAGCAGGAGAGACGTAATATTGAAAAGGACGCATGGCTATAATCCCAGCACTTTGGGAGGCCAAGGCAGGCAGATCACTTGAGGTTAGGAGTTTGAGACCAGCTTGGCCAACATGGTGAAACCCCATCTCTACCACAAATACAAAAATTAGTTGGGTGTGGCCATGCCCACCTGTAGTCCCAGCTACTTTGGAGGCTGGGGCAGCAGAATCTCTTGAACTCAGGAGGCAGAGGTTGCAGGGAACCGAGATCGTGCCATTGCACTCCAGCCTGGGCATTGCAGTGAGATTCCGTTTCAAAAAAAAAGATGCATAGGTATAAAATTTGAATTGATCTGGAGGAAGTTTCTGGGAAGATTAAAGAGAACTTAAAATGACCTCATTTCTTTCAAATGCAGTTTGGTAGAAACCACAAGCAGTGCAAAACAGGGGGAAAGAAAAAAAAAAAACCTTGCATGTTAAGGGAAACCTTGAGCTTCTTAGGGTACATTTATGCCATCATTTTCATGTTCCTCACTCAGCCCTTGCCTCCAGAACCTTAGCTGGACTGGAGACCGTCTCACTTAACAGATTAGGAGAGGAGTAGGTGCCTGGAAGTATTCAACACACAGCTACTGAGCTCTGCTGTGGGCAGCCCGTGGCTGGTGACCAAGATGCTTTCCCTGTCTTTGGGAAGCTTGAGGTCTAGTGGAGTGAATTGACAGAGGAAAATAATTGGCAATGTATTGTGCTAGGTGCCATTATAGAGGAGAATGCGGCACACGATGAAAGCATAGTCGAAGAATGTGTCAACTCTGTCCTGGGGGCAGGTGAGGGACAGTAGACCAGAAATGCTCACAGATGAGGGGAACTTGAATAGAAATTTCTGGAATGAGTAGATGCCACTAACCTGTATGGTACGTTGGTGTGAATTAGAAAAAGGGCACATAGCAGATCACTCTCATCCAGCTTTTATGCAGTGAACAACCTGTAACACTATATGGCACCATTTAACTTGCCATATAGACAGAAGAAGGAGAGTGGTAAGAGCGTTTTGGGCACAGAAGACACTGTGAGCAAGAGCACTAAGATGGTAAATTCAGGAAGTGAGAGGACACTGAAGTCTTGAGCTCTAGAGCAGTGATAATGGAGTTGAGGTGAAGAGACCTGATTTAAGAGCTATCAGGGGGCCGGGTGCAGTGACTCACGCCTGTAATCCCAGCACTTTGGGAGGCCAAGGAGGGTGGATCATGAGGTCAGCAGATCGAGACTATCCTAGCTAACACCGTGAAACCCCGTCTGTACTAAAAAAAAGTACAAAAAATTTAAAAATATATATATATACACAAAAAATTAACATGGTGGCAGGAGCCTGTAGTCCCAGCTACTTGGGGAGGCTGAGGCAGGAGAATGGCGTGAACCCGGGAGGTAGAGCTTGCAGTGAGCCGAGATCGCGCCACTGCACTCCAGCCTGGGAGATGAGAGCGAAACTCCATCTCAAATAAAAAAAACAAAAGAGCTATCAGGGTTTGAATGGGTAAGACTTGGCAGGTGATGAGGGTGGGGCAGTGGGAAGAGAGAAAAGTAAGTATTCAGATGGACCCCTGGGCTTGAGTGACTGAATGAATGGTGTGGCACCAATCAGACCCGAGGGAGTGAAGATGGAGCAGCCCCAGCTCTCATTCCCCGCTGCCTGCCTGAGAGCCCTGGTGATTTCTTTCCAGTTTCCTGAGGTTGTTCCCCTTAACATCGGAGGGGCTCACTTCACTACACGCCTGTCCACACTGCGGTGCTACGAAGACACCATGTTGGCAGCCATGTTCAGTGGGCGGCACTACATCCCCACGGACTCCGAGGGCCGCTACTTCATCGACCGAGATGGCACACACTTTGGGTATGTCTCTCCCTGTACAGTCAACTTTGTAGTGCTAGCAAGTGATTAGCCTGGGCTTGAGTATGGGACTTTGGTATCTTCCATAGTACCTAGAAGAGGAGATAACATATTGATGGAATTTAATAAATTGGCTTATTGAAAGAGATCAAATTTTTTTTTTTTTTTGCCAAAGGAGACAAAGACAGCCAGCGAAATTCCAAATAACACACACTGGCTGGATGAAATTGCTTCCATCCTAGACAGTTAAACAATTTTTATTTTCAGCTGGGCGTGGTGGCTCTTGCCTGTAATCCCAGCACTTTGGGAGGCTGAGGTAGGTGGATCACTTGAGGCCAGGAGTTCGAGACCAGTTCACTACAGCATGGTGAAACCCCATCTCTACTAAAAATACAAAAATTAGCTGGGTGTGGTGGCTCATACCTGTAATCCCAGCTACTTAGGAAGCTGAGGTAGAAGAATCACTTGAACCCAGGAGGCAGAGGTTGCAGTGACCCAAGATCCCACCTTTGCACTCCAGCCTGGGCGACAGACCGAGATTCCATCTCAAAAAAACAAAACAAAACAAAATTTCATTTTTATTTATTTAATTATATACACATGCACACACAGACATACACATACACACACACATATATGTATATATATATGTGCTCTGATGCACTGGGGCTTCCACTGGTCTTAATGTGTGTGATACTATCATCATTTTATATATATATAGATAGATGATATAAATAAATGATATATACTATCATCATTTTATATATATATATAAATAGAGGTGGGATCTTGCTGTGTTGCCCAGAGTGGTCTCAAGCTCCTGGCCTTAGACAATCCTCCTACTTTGGCCCCCCAAAATGCTGGTATTACAGTATTTATTTAATTTTAGGTGGTTTTTGTTTTTTGGGGGGGTTTTTTTGAGATAGGGTCTTGCTCTATTGCCCAGGGTGGAATGTAGCGGCTGTTCACCAGTGCCATCATAGCTCACTGCATCCTTCAACTCCTGGCTCGAGCAGTCTTCTCACCTCAGCCTCCTGAACAGCTGGGACTACAGGCATGCGCCACCACACCTGGCTATCCCACGCAATATGAGACCAGGAAGTTGTCATCTGTGTGGAGAGGAATAAGTGTAATCCCATGTCGGGGGGTAGTCTAAAACAACTTGGAGAGTACCTTTAGATCTGGATTTTGGGGCTCAGCCTTGCCATGGGAAGGAAACGTGTGTAGCAATGGTTACCAGACTTCTTCAGTAGTTTAAAACAGTAAAAAAAAAGATGAAAGACTGACATAGTGTTGTTCTTTAATTTTGACAAGGAAAGTCTTTAAAAAAAAAAAGAAAAAACCTCTGTTGTTCCTGTGAGGTAACACTAAAACGTGGCAAAACACAATCTCAACAGCAGCAAAATAGCAGCCAGGCACGGTGGCACTTGCCTGTAGTCACAGCTACTTGTGAGGCGGAGTTGGGAGGGTTGGTTGAGCCCAGGAGTTGGAGGCTGCAGCGAGTCGTGATCCTACCACTGTGCTCCAGCCAGGGCAATAGAGTGAGACTGTCTTTTTTTTTTTTTTTGAGTCAGCGTCTTGCTCTGTTGCCCTAGCTGAGTGCAGTGGCGTGAGCATGGCTCACTACAGCCTTGACCTCCTAGGTGCAAGCAGTTCTCCTGTCTCAGTTTTCTAAGTAGCTGGGACTAGAGGTGCACACCACCACGCCTGGCTGATTTTGATTTTTTGTATAGATGAGGTTTCACTATGTTGGCCAGGATGTTCTCAAACTCCTGAACTCAAGTGATCCTCCTGCCTCAGACTCCCAAAGTGCTGGGATTACAGGCTGTGCCCGGCCGAGACTCTGTCTCTGAAAAAAGAAAACAAAACCTTTCCCAAGAAAGGACTTCTGACAGTCTTACACATAAACAATTTAAAGACTTTATATCTCAGGTTCCATGTTTGTGAAATGAGAAATAATTATAGCTGCTGCACAGGCTTGTCAATGAGGATTATATAAAGAGCCTTGGTATGACCCCTAGCCATGTCCTTTTCAGAGTACGTGACTGGAACTCTTAGCTCTTTCAGTCTGACATTGGAGATGACTAGAGACCTTGAACCAAGTGTCTGGGAGGCAGAAACTCTCCAACCACTGCATCTCTGTGCTGGCTTCCAAGTAGGATTGCCCACACTGTGGGAAAGATTATTTTTATTCTCAGAAAGGAGCCCTTGGTCAGATAACTTGCTTGGAAGCATCTGGGTTTCCCCAGTGGGCTATCAGCTGCCTCCAATGCTGAGAAAACAGTGTCACATCGCTCTGCAGAACTATAAAAAGATATTTGTTTGCAGGCTGTTTGGGGAAGGAAAGTGCCGGCTCCAGCTGGCAGCTCCCACAACACCCTTAGCTGGGCCTTGCCCCAGGGTTTTGTTTTTCAGAGCTCACCAAGGTTTGCTGAAGATTTAGAAGGGATTTTGGGGAGGAGGGTCCGGGTTTGACTTGAGGTGGATGTGCCCACGCCCAGGTGGCCACAGTTAGAGAGTGACAGCGCCAGGCAAGGGCATGGCAGAAAGCAGGAGATGGATGGCGACATTCATACTTTGGCTGATGAGTTCCTGTGACCTATGATTCATCAGCAGCAGATGAAGTTGTTGAATGACTCAGATAAAATAGGGGGTTCAGGGCATTTCGTAGGGTGCATTTCTTGCTATACAGCTTATGCACCTCCAGCACCCACCATGAAGGCCGCTTGGGCCTCCGCCTGGGGTTGTTCCCCGTTGTCATCAGCTTGCCACACTCTGGTCCAAATGCTTCTGCTGAAGCTGGACCATGGTGGATGTGGGTGTAGAGTCAGCCCTGGCTGGATCTGAGCCTCTGGCAGTGGTGGCTACTTGAGCAAGCATGTTCCTGAACCTGGCTGGGCCCCACTTGAGCCTCATTTATGACATAGAGATAAGATAGCACACCCCCCCAATGTCATTGAGAGGATTACATGGGATAACCCATGAATAGTGGCTGGCACCGAGTAATACTTAGCGAGTGTTAGCTGGTGTTGTATTAGGTCATAGACTAAGCTATTATTGAGGTAGCAGCATAATCTTGGGATTTACTCACTCTCTTCTACACGTACCAGTGATGTATCTGATTACTCAGCACTAAATAATCTGAAAAGCTGGTGGCTTGCACCTATGGTCCCAGCTATTCGGGAGACTGAGGCAGGAGGACTGCTTGAGCCTAGGAGTTAGAGGCTGCCTTGAGCTACGATTGCACCACTGCCCTCCAGCCTGGGTGACACAACAAGACCCTATCTCTTAAAAAAGAAGAAAAGAAAATCTGAAAAGTGAATTGGAAGGACTGAATTTTTATTTTAAGAAAATACAATATGTGATTTTATTCAGCCCTGGAACTGTTCTTTCAGACATTATGGTTAGGCATTTTACCTGCTCTGCATAGCTACAGAATAATACTAGTGGCAAGGATGGGGAACACCTAGAACTCTTCTGCATTGCTGGTGGGAATGTAAAATGCTGCAACCACTTTGTTAGCCACGTGCTTACCCTATGACCGAACAATTCTACTCCTGATACTTACTCAAAAGAAATTTGTGCTTGTGTCCACTAAAGGTTTTTTTTATTTTGAGATAGAGTCTCACTCTGTAACCCAGACTGGAGTGCGGTAGCATGATCTCAGCTCACTGCAACCTCCGCTTCCCAGGTTCAAGCAGTTCCCCTGCCTCAGCCTCCTGAGTAGCTGGGATTACAGATGCCCACCACCATACCTGGCTAATTTTTGTATTTTTAGTAGAGATGGAGTTTCACCATTTTGGCCAGGCTGGTCTCAAACTCCTGAGCTCAGGTGATCCACCCACCTCGGCCTCCCAAAGTGCTGGGATCACAGGTGTGAGCCACCATGCCTGGCCTAAAGGTCTAATATAGGAATGCTCATCCCAGCTTTACTCATAATAGCCAAAAACTGGAAACAACCCCATAATAGCCAAAAACTGGAAACAACCCAAATGTCCATCAAAGAGACAACAGGGTAAATAAATTATACCATATTCATGCAAGGGTATACTTACATAATAAATAATAATAATAACATTGCTCATCCCAGCTTTACTCATAATAGCCAAAAACTGGAAACAACCCAAATGTCCATCAAAGAGACAACAGGGTAAATAAATTATACCATATCTGTGCATATTCATGCAAGGGTATACTTACATAATAAATAATAATAATAACAAACTACTGGTTTGTTTTTATTTATTTGGTGGATAAATTTCAAAAACATTATGTTAAAGGAAAGAAGCCAGGTACAAAAGAGAACATACTGTATAATTCTATTTATATGTATTTCAAGAAAAGGCAAAACTCATCTTTACTGATCGAAGGAGAAGTTAGAGTGGTTCCTTCCGTAGGGATTAACTGGGAAGTGGCATGAGAAACCTTAAGGAATGGAAATGTTTCATCTTGATCTAGGTGTGGTTGGATGGGTATATTCATACTTAAAAAAAATTGAACTGTACAGTTAATATTTGTACATTTATTGAATATTTCACCTCAATTCTAAAACAAATGTATATAAAGGGCTAGATGTCATATCTTTCCATTTTACTTACATATGCCTAATAATACCTAATATTATACCTAATGATAGTAATTATAGTTGCTTACTGATAACAACAACTGGTAACACTTATTGAGGCTCTACTCTGTGCCAGGGATTTTCTAATCACTTAATTCCTAATACATCATGAGGTTTTATTTTCTCCACTTTTACAGACAGAGAAACGGAAGCATGGAGAGGTTAGGTTCATTTACCCAGTGTAACACAGCTGGCAGTCTAGTTTTAGATTTTGTCCAATGCACTGTATGGCACTGCCCAGGAGCATGAGCTCCTTGTCACCGACCCTCTTTCCTTCCTGCTCAGAGATGTGCTGAATTTCCTGCGCTCAGGGGACCTCCCACCCAGGGAGCGTGTTCGAGCTGTGTACAAAGAGGCCCAGTACTATGCCATCGGGCCCCTCCTGGAGCAGCTGGAGAACATGCAGCCACTGAAGGGCGAGAAGGTGCGCCAAGCGTTTCTGGGACTCATGCCCTATTACAAAGGTGAGGGTCAGCTGCCCAGGATGGTGGGTATGTGGGAGGCGGTCTGCAAGGCATCTGTGAGTGTTTAGGTCTCCATCACAACACCGGGGGCAGCATTCATCCAGATTACTCAAGATGGGAGGGAGTGTCGTCCCCTCCCAGTCACACTGGGGAGATTCCAGTTAAGGTGGTCCTACCTGGCCTGTGACAGTCAGCAAATTGTGTTTCAGAAGGACAACCCTCGTCCCATTGGCTCTCCATTACTGTAGAGAACCATGACCCTTGTTTCAGTTTGTGCCCTTCGTTGGCCCCCTGAATCCTTTCCCCGAGAAATCTGTCTTTCCCCTCCTGCATCCTGCCATCTTCAGGACTGTTTTTCTGTGCATCTCTGCCACCGCGTCCTGCCCCTTCACCCCAGTGATAGGTGTTGTGTTCATCCTCATAGACCACTTGGAGCGGATTGTGGAGATCGCCCGGCTGCGTGCGGTCCAGCGGAAGGCCCGCTTTGCCAAGCTCAAGGTCTGTGTCTTCAAGGAGGAGATGCCCATCACCCCGTATGAGTGTCCGCTCCTCAACTCCCTGCGCTTTGAGCGGAGTGAGAGTGACGGGCAGCTTTTTGAGCACCACTGTGAAGTGGATGTGTCTTTTGGGCCCTGGGAGGCTGTGGCTGATGTTTATGACCTGTTGCACTGCCTGGTCACGGACCTCTCGGCCCAGGGCCTCACCGTGGACCACCAGTGCATCGGGGTGTGTGACAAGCACCTTGTGAACCACTACTACTGCAAGCGCCCCATCTATGAGTTCAAGATCACATGGTGGTGAGTAGCCTTGGTAGGCAAGAGTCCCATCAGGGAGGATGTCCACCACACTTGGTGGCTATGGGAGTAAGATCCCTGAAGGGGCTGCTGACTGCCCCAGAATCTGCCGAGGTGAGGACCGAGTCCTGAGGCACAGCTCCCAGGGGACAGAGGTGTAGCCCCACTCTCCCTGACTGCACCTCAGGGTTGAGCTCAGGGCTTGCGGCCTGCAGGCACTCCGGCCAGCGCTCACCTGGCCTTTCCTCAAGGCATGGTAGTCTTTCCTTGAGGCTGATAGCTAGGGCTTGAGCAGGAAGTCCCGAGAAGTTTTGTCACCTTCTTGACCTTGCAAGAGAGTTTCTGCCCATTTTAGAGCCACGTTATCAAATTGATGAGGCCTAATCACTTCCTCGACCCTGTTCAAGCGTCCCTCCCTTGTGTTTAGTGTATTGGTGTGAACACGGAACATGATGGGGGATTTACCTGACCAGCCACCCCATAGCCCCTGGCTGAAGAAGAAAGAGCATCTTCTGTCCCACTGCACCCCTTCTCCTCCAAGAATAGTTGCCCACCTTCCTAAAATGTGGAAAGACTTCTCTTTTCCTTCCGGAACATGTTCTTCACCACCTTTTGGAGATTTAACCATAGCTGCCAAAGCTATGCACCCAGTTGGCCTTAGAAAACCACAGTGTTTACAGCCCTGTCTTAGGGCCACAGCTTCTTCTATCTTCCACCACCCTCCTTGCTTGCAGGGTTGTCTTCTCACAGGCCTGGAATGCAAATTTCAGAGGCTTCTTTTGAAGATTCCCCAAGTCAAGCAGGCAAGATGCCTAGATCTTCTGTTATGTTTGACATGTAACATCCTTTTTAGAGGCTCAGAACACCTCCTTGGCTGCTATCTCATGTGTTAGAATCCAATTTGTGGTGAACCTCTTTGGAAGGGGCCCCCTCTTTAAACCCTGTTGCTCTGTCCTGGTAACATTCTCCTAGGAGAGCATGTCTTCTGAGAAGGTAAAGGAAGGGCTGGGTGAGACACACAGCTATCCTAGGAGCCGTAGGAAGACAGAGAAGACTTCCCTTTTGTTTTATTCCTCACTCCTCTATTTTTGTCTTCTCTATATTTTGTTTTACTCCTCACTCCTCACTCCTCTATATTTTGTTTTACTTACTCCTCTATTTCAGAAATTGAAAAAGATCCCCAAGGATCTGTTACTACTGCATTTCTTTCTTGCTCTGTCCACAGCCTGGGCCAACTAGTCAGGGTCTGGACATGCATCTCCTAAAGGAAGAACTGTGTAGCACCACTGATCACAATGTAACATTTCCGTGCTGCATTAAGGGCGTCTCTCTGTAATCATGACCGTACCTGTCTCTTCCTGGGTATTCTTGAAGGGAGATATTTTTTTTTAATGTGTGAAGAATTGATGTGAGCCAGGAACATGTCTGTAGACCCAGCTACTTGGGCACACGCCTGTAGCCCAGGCTACTCAGGCACACACCTGTAGTACCAGCTACTCCGGAGGCTGAGGCAGGAGGATCACTTGAGCCCAGGAGATGAAGACTGTAGTGTACTATGATCATGCCTATGGCTAGCCACTGTACTCCAGCCTGGGCAACACCACCGTTAAAATAAATAAATAAAGGAATTGGGGAGGACCACCTCACTGGTCTCAGACTTACAGGACCAGATAGATGAGATGGGTATAGGGGGAGCTGAAGTCTGTGTTCATATGAGGAAAAGAAGACCAAGCCCTGGGACTTTGGTTGAATTCCTCCGTGGGGCTGGAAGGCAGTGACCTCCTGTTCCCTCTGTGTAAGCAGAGATTCCAGGGCATGGTTGTGCACTCCTGTTGTACTCTTTTAGAGGTGGAAAAGAGGTGAATACTGAGATCTAAGAGGAAAGAACAGTCATTCATGTTCTGAGATATGGGCTCTCTCTATTGTTCTCATATACAAAGGGATAGTCTCTTTTTTGGAGCTGATGTCCCTGCTTGGAGGTTAGCCCAAAAACATGGCTCTTGCATTGTTCTAAGACAAAAGTCTTTGATTTTGGTTCTTCTGATTGGTGTTACCTACTGCCTAATATGTGTTCATTTTTTGACAGAGAGGCAGACTATTGAAAAAGTCTGTGTGAACAGAGAGCAGTTCATTAAGCCCAATGCTTTCAGTAATGTGGCCTTGACCCCTTCTGCTACCCGCCATCCCACGGAGCATCGCAGGGCTTGGTTATTTAGAGTCCATACATGCAAGCCAGGGAGACACTTGTTTGCTCAAATGCAAGTTTGCTCAAAAACAGGTCCTGAAGGCTGGCTTAGGGTTACAGGGATGCTGGGTAAGAACACTGTTCTTGTGTCTCTCGCTGGAGAAACCCCTGTTTCTCTGACTCCCTATGTGATCCTCACAGTAATGTCTTCTGTGCCACTGTAGGACACAAGGCTCTGGCCAGTAGAGAAGACAGAGAGGTGACACTGGGCAGCAAGCTGAGAGCTCTTTCTAAATAGAGTGAACGCCTTCAGTGGTCTAGTTTCTCCATTCTCTGATGAGAAACCGAGGCCAGGCGAAAAAGTGAATTAGATGTGGTGGATTGTGCTAATGGCCTCCAAATAAAGGGGTTATCCCTGTGGAAGTGATTTCTCCCCATTTGATCCCTTTTCAACTCTGAGTGGCCAGGCCCAGAGCAGAAGAAGGGTTGGGTCTGGAAGGAAGGCTCCAAAGGTTGAAAGCTTCTCCCTGATCAGAAGGAAGTGCATCTTTATAGAATTGTTGTGTGTAATGTCAGTAAATCCCTCTCGCTTGACAAGGGACTGGATTCATCTTGCCTTGAGGCAGGCCGGTAGTTATCAGTGAGTCAAACCAAAGTGAAAGTTTCAGGAGATGGGACCACATGGTGAAATGCTCGCCATAATAAAATTCCTTAAAGATAAAAAAGCTAATGTTATAGCAATGAAAAAGACTGAAGCAAAACCACACTGAAACACATCCCATTCCAGGGGAGGAATTCTTTGCGTAACACCCTAAATCAAAGGAAGGAATCACCACCTTCCTTATCCTACCTCTGCCTTGTTCACCAGGCTGCCCAGTGCTTACCATGCAGAAAGCAGTCAGCTGTACTCTGGAAGTTTCTGTTCTTTCCTGGGGCTTAGGATATTCTGGGAGCTGTCTGAGCCTTGTGCTTCAGGCTTATCAGGTGATATAATCTTCCTGTTCTGGGTTGCTTGCTGGAGGACTAGGAGGTGACATTTACAAGACACAGGCGGCGTGAGCACCCATGTGTGGTCTTGGTCTAAACCAGCTCTTGAACAGGTTAAAGCAAACAGCAATAACAAAACAAAAACTACCCACACTGAGCATTTTGATCCCAGTAATATTTCAAATATTGTCCTTCTGCATATGTTCTATCCATATTTGATTCCAATATACATTATTAAGCTTTCTTGGGTACTATTTTTCTGGGGCTCTTGCATGAAGGTGGTGCCTGTCTCATGATCTTAAAAGAGAGAGGCTTTTTTCATCCAAAGCTGGAGTGTTGGGAACTGGGGTGGGAGAGGCACTTTCTGGAATTCTGAGAGAATCATATCTGTGTATATACGTATTGAGTGGGGAAGGATGGGGGTTGGCAGGGGTTGAGGGAGGTGGGAACAAACAGTGGGTATGGGAACAGGCAGTCACCTCGAGTCACCTGGGTCCGTCGTCGTCCTTCTGTACGGTATTGGGTTTATGTACACAGTATAACACTTCCTGTGTGAGTTCATGTACCTGTCTGTGAGTGCTTTGGTGTATGGAGCCTCAGTACACTCCAAGGGCATTAAAGTCAAGAACTAGAACCTGCGTGCTGCGCCTTTCTTTTTTAGAGATGTGTGCTCATCCCTTCTCTGACACCCACTTTGTCAGCAAATATTTTTTATTTCTGCTTAAAATGTGGTATGTTTGGGGATGCTCCACACAACAAGACAGGCTTTTCCCTGAGACCAGCAGCTGAACTTCTGCCCTGAAAGGGAGGTGGGCCTCTTGAGGACCCTTCTGGAGTTACTCTAGACTTGTCTCTGTTTCAGGTAGGCAGGTGCCCACCCCAGCCTAGGCAAAATCTGTCCTCTTCTGTTGGGAGTTCTCCAAGGAAAGAAGAGACTACAGGTGCAGTCACGTATGTGGCTCACAACCATGTCAGGTAGTTCTAAAATAAATTCCTCCCGTCATATCACCACTTCCTTTTCAACAGGGAAATAAGTGCTCTAAATTTATGTGAGCCTTAGTGGTTAAGACCCTTCCTTGGCTGGGCGCGGTGGCTCATGCCTGTGATCCCAGCACTTTGGGAGGCTGAGGTGGGCGGATCACAGGGTCAGGAGATTGAGACCATCCTGGCTAACACAGTGAAACCCCGTCTCTACTAAAAAAAATACAAAAAATTAGCCGGGCGTGGTGGCAGGCCCCTGTAATCCTGGCTACTTGGGAGACTGAGGCAGGAGAATGGTGTGAACCCAGGAGGCGGAGCTTGCAGTGAGCCGAGATCGCGCCACTACACTCCAGCCTGGGCGACAGAGCGAGACTCCGTCTCAAAAAAAAAACAAAAAAACAAAAAAACAAAAAAAACCCTTCCTTAAGGAAAATGGACGTAAGTCGCCCTTCCTTTGAAAGTGGAGCTTGACACCTTCCTGGCTAATGAGCGCCCTCATCAAGATGCCCCTTGGAGTCACATCATGGATTAATTCAGAGAGGTGAGTCCTGAAGCTCCGAGTAGCTTCATACCCTCCAATTGCTTCCCTGAAATCTGATTATTCTGGGTTTTAAACAAAAACACTGCATCATCTGTGCCAAATATATTCCCTGACCTAATTACTGAGTGCAGTCACATAGTAATAGTACACTAACAATACAGGCTGGAAACTGAAGCTCATAGAGGTATAGTTTCCCCAAGAGTGCAGAGCTAGTAAGTGGAAGAGTCAGCATTCAAACCCAGAGCCCCTTTGTGAAATCCTCAGGGTTGTTCAACAGCATGATCCTCCCTTCCTCTTGAAAGCTAAGTATCCTCCTTCTGAGGTTCAGGGCTTGACTCTGCCTGACCTGTGAAGATTTGGAAAGCACATATCTAGGACAAGTATCAGAAAGTCTTCGGCTGGGTGCGGTAGCTCAAGCCTGTAATCCCCGCACTTTGGGAGGCCGAGATGGGCGGATCACGAGGTCAGGAGAGCGAGACCATCCTGGCTAACATGGTGAAACCCCGTCTCCACTAAAAAACACGAAAAAACTAGCCGGGCAAGGTGGCGGGCGCCTGTAGTCCCAGCTACTTGGGCGGCTGAGGCAGGAGAATGGCGTAAACTCGGGAGGCGGAACTTGCAGTGAGCTGAGATCCGGCCACTGCACTCCAGCCTGGGCGACAGAGCAAGACTCCGTCAAAAAAAAAAAAAAAAAAAAAAAAAGTCTTCATACTTTAGGAAAGGATTCTAGGAAGAAAAGAAAAAAAATCTGCCATAGATGTTGTATTAGTCCATTTTCACACTGCAGTAAAGAACTACCTGAGACTGCATAATTTATAAAGAAAAGAGGTTTAATTGACCCACAGTTTGCATGGCTGGGAGGCCTTGGGAAACTTATAATCATGGCAGAAGGCGAAGGAGAAGCAAGGCACGTCTTACATGGTGGCAGGAGAGAGAGAAAGTGGGGAGGCCAGGTGTGGTGGCTGATGCCTGTATAATCCCAGTACTTTGGGAGGCCGAGGCAGGCAGATCACAAGGTCAAGAGATTGAGACCATCCTGGCCAACATGGTGAAACCCCATCTCTACTAAAAAACAAAATACAAAAAAATTAGCTGGGCATGGTGGCATGCACCTGTAGTCCCAGCTACTCGGGAGGCTGAGGCAGGAGACTTGCTTGAACTCAGGAGGTGGAGGTTGCAATGAGCCGAGATCACACTACTGCACTCCAACCTGGAAACAGAGTAAGACTCCATCTCAAAAAAAAAAAAAAAAAAGAGATTGGGAAATGCACTTTTAAGCCATCAGAGCTCATGAAAACTCACTATCACAAGAACAGCATAGGGAAAATCTACCTCCATGATCTAATCACCTCCCTCCAGGGCCCTCCCCTGACAAGTGGGGATTATAGTTCAACATGAGATTTGGGTAGGGACACAGAGCCAAACCATATCAAATGTGTAGCCCTTAAGTAGCCCCTGTGTTAAGGGGGTAGATGGGGCTCCCAATTTACTGACCTGAGTGAGGGACACATATCCACTAGGTGAAGGAGGCCCTGCTCACAGGGTGATGAATGGAGTATGACAGAGTAGGTGAGTCATGGCTCCTTGGCTGGACCCCAGGAGTGGGATGATCTGGAACCATCTGAATTAATGAGACTCCTGAAGCCCTGCAGGTGTCCCTGCATAGACAAGCTGTATAGCCTACTTCCGAAATCAGAAGCGTAACAGAATGGGAGGCTCCTTAGTGTAGTTCAGGGGATGCCGTGTGCATGGCTTGGGACTCGTGGCCCTTGGACTCAGATCTCTATACTACCAAGTGTCCCTTCATCATTCTTGTGTAGATGACCTCTTTACTAGCTTTACTTAATTTTGGTTTGTTGAACTTACAGCATGTTCCCGTAGCTTTTATTTACTTACCTTTAGCTTTCTTTTAATTCCTTACCATTTTGTTTTTCCCATCATGTACTTTAGCTTAATTTCCCTGTTTTTTAAACATAATTTAAATATTTATTTATTTATTTATTTATTTATTTATTTATTTATTTATTTTTTGGAGACAGTCTTGCTCTGTTGCCCAGGCTGGAGTGCAGTGGTGCAATCTCAGCTCACTACGTCCTCCGCCAGCTGGGTTCAAGCGATCCTCCTTCGTCAGCCTCCCAAGTAGCTGGGATTACAGACACGCCACCATGCCCAGCTAATTTTTGTATTTTTAGTAGAGATGCGGTTTCACCATATTGGCCAGATTGGTCTCGAACTCCTGAACTCAGGTGATCTGCCCGCCTTGACCACCCAAAGTGCTGGGAGTACAGGCATGAGCCACCATGCCAGCCTAGTAGTTTTTGTTCTGAGCAAGGATAGTTATGTGCTTTTCTTTTCCCTTCCCCAGTCATGTCTACAGTGATCTATCTTATTAGCTGTGAATTTAGGTACCTCATTTTTTCTCAGGTGAATACCTGCTTCTAATATCTAAATGCAAAGGAAGACTGACAGTATTACTATAGAATTCATAGATGTGCATTATCTAGGTAGATTTAAAGGACAGAATTTTGTGTCTTCTTCCAAAATGCACCCCCGACCCTCCACCACACCACACACACACACACACACACACAAATAAATAAACAGAGCAGTCTTAGGAAGAGGGCAGTTCAATTCCTGGACTACAAAGGACTTCTTCCCTCACACACTTGTTTTTCCTGAGGAATGACATGATCTGGAGATCCTAGGTGTCCCCCTTCTCCAACCACTTGACACCAGGTGGACACAGAGCTATTGTACACCAGGAGAAGATCCAGTCAACTGTGGGAAAGACTGAACCATCCAGAAACACTCTATAACAGGGGTCTGTCATCAGATTATGATGTACCTTTTCTAGCCACTTCTGGCCTCTATGTCAACCTTATTCACCCCTCAACAAACATGACTTCCAGAGGATTCTCTTTTTTTTTTTGAGATGGAGTCTCGCTCTGTCACCCAGGCTGGAATGCAGTGGTGCAATCTCGGCTGACTGCAACCCCTGCATCCCGGGTTCAAGCAATTCCCTGCCTCAGACTCCCAAATAACTGGGATTACAGGCGCTCGCCACCACACTCGGATAATTTTTGTATTTTTAGTAGAGACGGAGTTTCACCATCTTGGCCAGGCTGGTCTTGAACTCCTGACCTTGTGATCCACCCACCTCAACCACCCAAAGTGCTGGGATTACAGGCATGAGCCACCGCACTTGGCCAGGATTCTCTTAATAATACAGACTCTCATTTCTTCCCCATATCATATGATCCTTTCAGATGGCCCAGCCCCTGTAGATTTTTGGAATGGAGGTATCCATACTTTTCTCTGTCATTATTAAAATCAAGAAATAGAATCACATAGCAACACAAAACTTGGAGCTTGACCCTCATTAAAAGAGACTTGCAAGTTCAGAGTCCAATTGAAGAAATCTTTATATCTTCAGTATTTTTGTAAAGAGGTCCGGGTGGTATCATGAGTAGGCTTAAGTCCCTCCAATGTGTATGAACTTTTATAAATGCCCTGGGTATCCTGTGTCTCAACACAGCATCTTCATCACCAACCATACCTCAGCTGACTGCCCCAAGGGCCCACCTGTGTGTGCACATGTTGCAGGTGTTTACCGTCCCTCTCACCATGTCCTCTCCACCTCTCCCCTCTGTAACTGTCCTGTCTTTGGCATTTAAAAGTTGGTTGGCCACTTCTGGCCATGCCCTATCTGGTACCTGCTAGCCAACCGTGACAGTGATGCCATACCCAGGACTGTCTGCTTCTTATTCTCAGGCAGGTAGGTGCTCTCAGCACTGATGTCCCTTGTTTTCCAAGTCAGCTTTTACATCTGGCCTGCTAGGAACTGGAGAGCATTTTCAGTCTCCATAGCAGCAGCAGCAGCAGCAGAGGATCCTGCAGGCTCTATATCCACCTAAGTTAAGGTAAGGTGGATACACATCCTGGAAGCGCTGTGTCTACCTCCACAACAGCTGCAGAGGATCCTGCAGGATCCCACTGAGCAGAGACACTAGCTTCACCTTCTGTACCAGAAAGAAAGAATCTAATTATTTTGCCTGGTCAGGCATGGTGGTTCACACCTGTAATCCTATAGCACTTTGAGAGGCAGAGGCAAG